ACTCCATATGCAAGCACCCACAAGGTAGCGATAATTTTTTGCTCAGGAATGCGACTTATAACATGAAAAACATCCTCTCTTTTTTTGTACAAATTTTGGATCATGGTTGCAACATCAATCATGATTTTGTTGAACAAACTTCCTTGCATTCTAAAATGACGTCTAAAAACATCATCAATGAATACATTATTGGGGATAAAATAATCTTCTAAGAGATCCTTACCTCGTTTTTCCTTCTTTCTATCCAAGTTTGCAGAACACTTGGGTTTGGAGATCTCACTCATAGCTTGCATGACACAATGGGAATGTGAGGCTCTCTGCCTTCTAAGTTCATCGTTTTCTTCCTCTTCCATTACGAACACCTCATCTGCACCATCCTCGAGATTGAACAATTCTTCATCTTCCTCAAACAATTTTTTTTTCTTGCTCATTGATTTCATACAATCTCCTTGAAGAAGTCATTGTAAGAACTCAAAATTTATAAACTATGAAGAAGGATTCTGAGCTAGTTTGAGTTTGGTGTATGAATTAGGATGGATGTAGGGTTTATATGGACAAAAAAAAAAATAAAGGATAAGGTTGTAGATAATGCAACGTGGCATGACTTAATTGGTTAATTTTTTTATCAAAATCTATTCGAAATGATTCTAAACAGATAGTGACACTTGGCGTGACATGATTGATTCAAAATCTTATCGGAAATCTATTCATAAAATTCTTATAGAATCATGACATGTGGCACTACGGAATTGGTTAAAATTCTACTTAAAAATCTATCCACAAAAATTATACTTTCAAACAGTGATATGTGGCATGACAAGATTGGTTAAAAATCCTATTCAAAATTATTTTATAAAAAAAATTAATAATATTTTAATACAAATTGACTAGGCTATTTAGTTTAAGGGTGGAGATGCACTTGGGTAGATACTATTTATTGCGGTCAATTACTATTTATTTGGATGGATTGAATTGACTAATGCCGATTGGGTTTTTGGAAGTGGACTTGCTCTAAGGCATTGACAAAAGACACAAGCTCACAAGGACAAATCTAAACACCAAACAAATCCTAAATCCTGAGCGCCACTGTCACCATTTGAACCACCTTTGGTTCTCATTCCATGAAGAGTCCACTCTAAGCTGCAATCTTCTTTGTTAGATTTCTTTCCATGAATTGCATTCCGTGCTAAAAAAACAAACAGATTGAAAAATCAACAGTAAAATGATTATTGTGTTGCAGTCCTATTAGATTAGGAATATAATTGTGTAAATCCTAGTATATCTTTTATAATATCTCTTATATTCCTATTAGGAGTAGATTACCTATTAGATGTTGTAATCCTAAAGGGTGAGGAATTAACCTTCTCTACTACTATATAAATAAAGGCACAATGGGGTGGAATATAATACACCCACAATTACACATCTCTCTCTTTTTTCTCTCTATGCTGCACCCTCTCTCTCTCTCTCTCTAAGGCCTCCATAATTGTTCAGTAAATTATGCCTACAACACGTTATCAGCACACTCTTGATGCTACGCTAATAAGAGAATTTATTCTTCAATCAGGGGAGTATTATGTTTTAATCATTCTTTTTATGATTAATTTATTATTTTGAATTAATCTACATGCTATTGATTCAATTTAATTTTTCTTGAACATGAACATGATACAACGCATTGGAGATGCAATTCCGGCTTTTCGAGAAGGATCTTCTACAAATTCAAAGGCTTTTGTTGTTTTCTGCCAATCAGGTACGCTTCAAATAAAGTAAGATATTTGAAACGACCATGAAGCATGAAAACATTCCTCATGATGCATGAACCCCCTATGTTTATATTTTCCTTCCGATATATATATATATATATATATATATATATATATATACTACCCGCTAGATTGATATTCGATATGTTCAATATATTTTTTGTCATATAGTAATATTTGGATTTCAATGGCAACTTATATGTCCCTAATTACGAGATAAAATTTTTTGTTTAAGGGAAGCGGACTCGGGGAGGGGAGATGTGTATATCAATGGAAGAAGTACTATCCCTGCCTGACTCTGTCCGGAACCAAAGGATGCCGGTTACTTTCCTGCGGCACCCACCCAGTTTCCCACCGTCCTGTCACCGATTCCAAGCATGCGGACTCTACCGTTGGACGCAGAGTTCTTGGCTTACACGACTTATTTCGTCGCTTTACTCCGGCTACGCTTGTCTTATGACTTCTTTGCCGGCTCCTACTAGTGGGCTCAGTCCGCGCCTGTCGTTTCCCTTGAGCGTGACGCACTGGCTGCTGTCTCTGTCCTCCCCACTGGCCTAACGGAAGATGGCTTATTGTCCAATCAACTGATGCTCGCACAGAGAGGCGGAAGGAGCGAAGCTCCCACAGCATGATCGAGTGAGTCGAGGTGGGAAAGTTCCCAGTCTTGAGGATGAATCCTGTATGGCAACGAGAGATATAGTAAAAGAAGGGCTGCTACCTTTTTGGCCTAGCCGGTTTTGTTTATGAGGTACTGACAATGGCCCTGACTACTAGCAGACGGGAGAAGTTGACCGTCCGTGTTATCAATAAACGTCGAACGCTATATTTTGGTTCATTGGTAAACACGGCTGCTCCCGCGTTAGTCCTTGGCTCTCCGTGAGGCCACCGTTGAACTCATTGGGTTGATGCATGGTCGACAGGGTTGGTCTTCCTCGCTCCTTCATGGCGTGCCCCGTCTCAGACCTATCCTACTATCTTATAGGCCAGAGTGGGGTCTCCGTCGTGAATAAAGTCTATGTACGAAGTGTGCCTGACTGGAGACGTGGTGACGTGTCCACACGAAATCGTTGCACTAATCAACGGAAAGTCTTGCCTAAATCGGACGCGTGACAACCCCACGGTGGCAGTGCGCTCCAATACAGGCCATCATATGCTTACGATTCAGGTCATCCGCCTGGGCTCGACCTGTTACTATCTGTGCCCGGCTGCTCTTCTGCTGGACTTTTTGTTGTTTGGTAGTTTCCGACCTGAGATGTAGCGAGTGTCGACGATGATCTCTTAGTTCTCTGTGCTAGTACTATGACCTTTTCTTTGTGCATGTGAATATATGATTCGAGCATATGATTGATATGGTTAGCTTCCTGTAGGGATGAGGATTTTTTTTGGGGGAGAGATTTCAAGGCCACCCCTGATGGACGAGAGGAAGGCGGAGGATTTGGGTATGCCGGTTGATTCATCAGAGACCAGGAAGATGTATGCTCTGAGAAATGTAATATCGTGATTACAGCTTCCCAACAAGTGGAGGAGGGTTGGATCTGCTTGGACAATAACCCGATTCCTGTTTGCCCATTTTGATTGGAGACCGGCTGGGAAGGTTCCCCCGCTAAGCCCCTCCTCAGACTTCCTGGAAGTATGGTAAAAGTGTACCATTCCTAGTTCTACATGCATGACATGGAGGGACACGAGCGCCGGCCAGGTGGTCAAGTTTTCATGCCTTCCTGATCTCACAGGAAGTCGGATTTACTTGTCGAGTTTTAGTGAATTCCAGCGGGTGTGATTCTATTTCAGGAGGGTTGATTCTTATGAGGTGCACTATGTGGAGAGAGAGGTCCGGAAGATTCCTTCCATTACGCTGGTATCCCGTCGGATCTTCGGATTGTGAGTTTGCGTGTTACAGAAGGCTCCTAACGCGGTGCTGTTTTCCCGTTTGGATATAGGTGGACCTGGAGTCGCGGTCTCACATCTGTTGGTGGAACTCAGGTGTATTAGGACTGGTTTTTTGGGAGAGTGCGGTGCTGACTCGATGAGCGTGCGTTTGTGTTGGGTTTGGAGGGATGCTGTTGGAGCTGTTGCTACCTTATAGGTTTGACTTGCTTTATCTTTTAGTATCCTCATTAGGACGTCAGGATCAAATCATCTCCTGGGAGGAGGTTCAATAATTTTATCTTGAATATCACAGTTCGCCGTACCTTGTTCTAGCGCACACATCGTGCGTGGAATTGATGTTTACGTTATACAAAATTCATCTATTCTCCGATTTTTCAATCGGTGATTTGCTGGCATCTATTTATTTAGTTTTCCATTCAGATCTGGTATTTCACATATAAGAGATAATGTTTAGGTTATCTGTTCTTTGTTTTTCCAGAAGTTTTCGTGTAGACTGTGTGAGTTACTCTAGCTTGCTTTTATTCCGTGACCGCTTGATATGTTATTATTATTTTTGCTTCTACGATCGATCCTGAATGGTCCCGATCCAATAAATTTAATTAAAAAGTGACATGCAGTTCCATTGAAATTCGTAGGACTGACGAGGAGATATAGGGGAACATGTTAGAGTACATTGCGGAACCGCATGTATCAATGGAGCATGTTGTGGACGTTAGGAGACCTAGGGCGAACTGAACGCATCAACTTTTGGACATCAACGAACGTTATAGGCCGATGCCAAAGCGATGGAGATAATGATTATTTTTAGTAGACTTTGAACCGGTGAGAGCGTCGGGCGGTAGGGAATCACGCGACGGTTAAGGCCTTTCGGTGTGCCCGAGGCACTAGCAAGCTACGGAATCGGATGAGGACCGGGTGATCGATCGCCGGGAACGACGTAGTCAAACGGCACCTTCGGGAGTTATCCAAGAAGGAACCTCAAATCCACGTGACTTTGATTTGCGCAATTCGCGGCTGATCGTAAGCTCTGAATTGGGCATGATAGTTGTTATATTGCATTCTGTGATTCTTGCAGGAACCTCTCTTTTAATAACTAAAGTTTATATAGATTGACTGTAGTTCAAATTTAGTGCCTTTTAAATAACCTGTAATGTTTCATAAAGCATATTGACAGGCGTTTGCTTAGTGGGTTGTGTTGAGAAAGAGTGCGTGGTCCTTTACCGATCTGGGGTGGCAGGTGGTTTCTTTTCTTGATTGGCTTTTCTTCTGCTGTTTCGTGTTTTTTTTTGTTGTCATTTAGACCAATTATGCTACTGCACTATGTTACTGTGAGTCTGTGATTCATTGCCTTCTTTATATTTTCAGCCATACTGGCAGCCACATAACAGAACAGTTGCAAGAAGAATTCAAAACATGGGGTGGAGAGCTGATGGTGGTCTTTGGCTCCTTGTTCGCGGAGGGGACTTTATCTAAGCAAAGGTACCGGGGTAACGTGAATACTGTTTTGCCTTGTAACCTTATCAAGAAGAATTCACCCTGTAGCCTTGTTACTCTCATAGCATAGAAGCTAAGCTGTTGCTTACTGTTTTCAGTTAACTGAGGATTTTGAAGAAGTTCCAGTCCAAAGCCGGGGGTTTGCCATTCTTGATGTTGGGTACCGATCAAAGGTAACGGTTTTACCATTCAACTCGTTGTCTAGTGTAAACTTCTCAGTCAGTTTTTACATGTTCTCCCAGACCCTGCGTAAAGCGGGAGCCTTGTGCACTGGGTACGACCTTTAGTGACTGTTTGTATCATGCAGGATGAGGCTTGGGCAGCAGGGGGAAGTGGGATTTTACTGCAAACTAACAATGGTGGTAAGACATGGACCCGTGACAAAGCAGCAGATAATATTGCAGCCAATCTATACTCCGTGAAGTAAGTCTGATCTTTCCAAATGTTTGTCTATGAATATGGTATTTCCTTGTAGTGATCTTATTTACAACTAGAGATTTTTCAATGTATTCAGAATACTGGAACTTAGTGTTATAATATCTATACCGATGCAGGTTTATTGATGACAATAAAGGATTTGTGCTGGGGAATGATGGGGTCTTGCTTCGGTATCTTGGATAAGGGTTTAATCTACACATCTCTTGGGCATTCTTAAAATATGTTATCTCGTCGTTTAGAGTCGTTTTATTGACATGTGCATTTATGCAGGTCAATTTTGTAGTGGTGATGTAACACATATATGATCGATCACGTATCCAAAGCTGCCAAGAGGGGTCAATGCCTCATTCATTTGATATTGTAATTTTTCTGTAAATTATTACCATCCACGGACAGATCTTGGCAATATTTTTACACCTTCATAGTAAGAGAATTTGTATAAGCCGTTTCAAAGCCATCTATTTGTGTTTGGGATAAAATCTGAACTTTGGGCCAGAGAGAAAGTCGGCCCAAACCCAAGGCCCAGAGGAAAACTTAGGAGGCAGGAAAGAGGCTTTCGGCTGGGCACAAATTACAAAGGCCACCTGCTTACCTGCTCAAAGACCACAGGGGGTAGGTTATTCAATCACTGCACAGCCCAATAAAGTACTTTATTGGTGGCATTCATGTAAAAAAGCTAGTGAGTCATCACCAAACCGCATTCGGGCAACCGCCATTGCTACAGGAACCCAAGCTGAATCCGTCTATAAAAGGAGGAAGAGAAGACAGAATTAAGGACACTCAAACAAACAAAAAGCCAAAAACTCTGCTCAAGCCAGATTTGCCTTCAACAAAGCTGTAGTCAGCACAAGCCTTCATCCCGTTCGGGATAAACCTTCCCAAACCCTGTAATAGCTCTGCTACCTTGTTCTCTTGGTGGTATCGATTCATTTTTGTATCCTCTTCTCCCCATCAACCACTTCTGAAAGCTTTCAGACCTTTGATAGAGCCACAAAGATAGATTTTGTAAGAAGTTCAGCCTTGGCCGATAAGGTTCAAACTTGCCCGACTATCTTTGCTCTGTCTTTGTCTTTTCTTTCTTTTAAAAGCACAATAACATGTTATATATTCTCAGTTATATACAAGTTATTTCTGGCAAAGTCACAATGAAAATGAGTCTTCAGCACTTGAATCCGATCTGAATCACGTCAGAGTTTAGATCAGATCTGAGGCTTAAGCCCGCAGGCATGTAATTTAAAGATCAGTTTAAAAGTCCTTGGCCTCAAGGCATAAAAAAGAACTCTATGTGGACTCAACCCATCCACGACGATCCTTGATAAGCGAGAAGTCCGAAGTTACTTGGGGCGCAAGTAATCAATCTATTTCTCCGTTTTGTTACTATTATATCTTGATTCGTAGAAAAGGCTTAAGCATAGAGTGAATTCTGATAGAAAGCCTCAAGGCCTACACCTAAGGCCCCACGAAGGCATCTATTTAGCTTCATTTTATGTTGCGGTCTAGTTGGTCCGAGTATAAGGATTAACTCTGATGGGAAGCCTCAAGGCCTATACCTAAGGCCCTACAAAGGCACTCATTTGGGTTCGTCCTACCTCTGGGATTCAGATAATCAAAGGTATAATAGTGATAAAACTCTGGCAACCATAAAAGGCCAAATATGATACATCCAAGCGCTGGTTTAGTTTTGACAGGAAGCCTCAAGGCCTACACCTAAGGCCTCACAAAGGCACCTGTTATATCTAATTCGGTTTTCTCGGGCGTAATACATATTCAATCAAAGCTTAAACACCCATTCAACATCTGCCATACTGAAGATGGCAGTGGCACGCCTGAGCACGATAAAGTTAATCTTGATTGTGAGCCTCAAGGCCTACACCTAAGGCCCCACAAAGGCACCCTTTCAAATTAACTCTGTCCTTCTCTTTCAGAACTGCCCGACGAGCCTTGCCCGAAGTGTGTCTTGCCCGACCAAGATCTGCCCGACGAAGGCCTTCCCGAGCAAGCCCGAGAAGAAAGCAGGAGTACGACAGATACCCTCAACCGACGCCATTCTCCCAGGGGAGCTGTGTGCTCGACCGCCAGGAAATTCCTGCGACGAACAATTTGGTTTCCTAGGCTGGACGAAAAGTCAATAGACAAACATTTTCGGCAACCAATTTTTATAAATCCATGGGTAATGATCACTTATATATTTCATGCATTTATACCATCCATTTTTAAAGTCTTTGTGATGTTTTAATGTTAAACTTGTGGCATTTTACCTTACCTTGTGTTAATGTGCAGTTAATTTTGTTTATGATTAATCTCAAGCAAAATGGAGAGAATGGAATTGAAAATGGCTGCTTTTTGTTAGAGGGAGAGACACGGCAGACAAAGAGGGAGTGGAAGACTGATGGAATAAAAAGAAGAATAATAAAAGGGCAGTGGGAGAGACACTAAAGAGAAAACAATGGAGAAAACAGGGAAGTGGAAAGAAAGGCAAACGGAAATAATAGAAAGGAGGACAGTGCGGACAGCAGCAAGAATAAAAATAATAAAAGAAGAAGGATGAGGCAGACAGACGGATATGGAAGAATAAAAAAAAGGAGGAGTAGAAACTTAATGGAAATGGGGCGTCAGAGGCAGAAGAGAAGGAGTGCGCAAGAGGCGCAAAAGAAGAATAAGAAGAAATATAGAAAGAGGGACTGAAGGTGGGGAAAAGAGGAGGGCAGAGAGAGAGAAGGCGGATGCAGCACGGTCAGAGATAGTGAGGACTGACAGAGAAGAAAAGAGGGCAGTGCAAGCAGGTGGAATAAAAAGAGGGCAATGGGCAGAGGTGGGATAAGAAGCGGGGGTGAAACGGGAGAGCAGAAAAGAATAGAGCACAGAGAGGCAGAGGTGCAGAAAAACAGGAGCAGGGGAAGGAGGACTCGGACTGGCGAGCAGCAGAAGGCAAGGCAGCAGGCAGAGGAAAGGAAAACAGGAGCAACGGAGAGCTCGTCTTGTTAAAACGGGTGTCTTCTTTCTTTGTTTTTCTTTATGGATAATTTCTTATGTATGAACATTATTATGTGTAACTAATTTATTATGCTAGAGTGAGGCCATGAGCCACAACATGAATACGTAGTTTTATTTTTCAATTGCTTAAGTGTTGTTACATGCTTCTTTGATATTTTCAATCACTGAATTAAACTATCTATGTACCTTGATGCTTGATCACCATTAGGATGCTTAGAAAAGTTATTAGAGATGCAATTTTGAACGAATGTCACGTTAAAATTGATTGTGCTTCTTGTGATTGAAAATTATACTCTCCTAAGGTAAATATCATGCTCTTAGGGATTATATGGTTTAACAAAAGGATTTTCACAAAGATTAATGAATCACTCATGTTTATATTTAATCCAAATGTCATGGATAAGTTGCATGTGGTGGTATGCGTTTTAGCTTGAATGTCACAAGTAAAACATACACAAGGAAAATCCAACCATCAAAAGCATGTGTGTTTTCAATTATTTAAGCAATTGGAATAGCTACGTAGGAGTGTTGTTGGTAAAGGTTGAACTCTAGCATATTGTCAATCTATTTTCTTCAATCATTTATTTTATTTGAATTCCTTATTTGCTTGTTTTGTTTTTAGTTGAATCATTATTCCTATAATCAATTCCTATTTAGATATTTGTTAATTCACATTCAGTAATATTAGTTCGTCAAATTAGTGTAATTCTTAGAGTTAAATAAGACAAAAACTCGTAAATTGTTTATATCAGTCCCTGGGAGATCGACTTGCTTGAGCCATATCTATACTAACAAACACTTGTTCTCTTGCAAGAATTTTCTATTGGTTTAACCCTTTGTTTTACAAGTGTAAAATCGCTATCAGGGTACATCTTATTCAGTTAACATCCTTATTCTATGAAATTAAAAAAAAAAAAAAGCTGGTCCATTTTCTTTTTTTTTTTTTTTTTTCTTTTTATTGCTTTTTTTTTATTTTTTTATCTTATTGATATTGTCCTCGATGGAATATGAGTTAATTGAATCATGTTTCTTAATACATGTGACTGATTCAATTAAACATGTGATTAGGTAAGAATGTGGGAAACTTAGTTGTCTGGATGATTGCGTACTACGCACACTAACTTTTCACCTAAAATCACATCTCTAACAATGACTTCAGGTCTATCTAACCTAATTAAAAGCATTGGCACACTCCTTGTTGTATGAATGGTACTGAATCACCATTTAAGGGACCTTAAATTCTCCTTGATGTTGAGTTTTTAAGGATATTCGAGATGACAAGGAGGATCATAAATGAAACACTAAAGAAAATAGACTGAAATATCTTTGCAGCACCTCCAAAAATGAGCCTGAAGCTTTAATTTGGGGGCTAATGGGCTATCCCCCAACTAGGGCACACGTCATATGTCGCCGGCCTGGAGATGGGTGATTGAGCAGTTTACTTGCTTTGGTGTGACATTTGGGACACTTCGAAACATACTACAACGCATCTCCTACTCGAAGTAAGGACCTTGTGCTTACACGCACACTTTGCCAAACATGCTCATTAGGAAAAATTGATTTTCTATATCATTCCTCTTAAAGATATGACACGACTCTCTTTTCACAAGGACAAGGGATTAAAGGGTTTTTAAATGGGGTTTAAATGTCGAAAACTAGTTTGTCCAGGATTGACTCATTTAGTGTAAAAAAATCCGTGACTGGATAATGCGTTTATTTTTTTCGATAAAGTATTGTAAAAGAACATGAACCCATGTTCACCCTAAGTAGCCTCCCCTAGTGATCATAAAGCACAATTTAAATGATCGCCCAAATCGTTACCAAGTTCCCTTTTATGCCAAAATACCTGCCTTAGGCCCATTTTTTTTTTTTTAAATGACGAAGGTTGCCAAACCGATATTTAAGCAAATAGCAAAGCCGGCAACGAAAGAAAAAACGTGACAAAATTGAAAGCCCTTGGTATGAAGTGAAAATGAGAGAGTCTTCCTTTCAATAAATCTTTTCGTGTTGTAATTTGCCTTGCCCACTATATGTCTTATCTTAATCCCCATACCACACAAGTGTGATAAGCAAGTGTGATAAATTCTAGATTTTAGAATGTGCTCCAGACGCATTCCTTAGATCTAGCTAAGTGACGAGATCATATACCAACTGCAAATATGTCTGCAATGATAGACGTACTTAACGGACATTGAGTCAACATCCCTGGAGGGTGTGCCCCTTTGTTGGACGGTTTGGACGCCGTTATTGGACTGTCCGGTACACCGGCGGATAGCCAATCAATCTATCTTGTTTGGACAGGAGTGCGACAACGATGATCTGCGTCCCAATGTAACCCTTAGCAAATGACAAGAGGGCGTAAAAAGCAAACAAATATTAGAAACTGCAGAGAAACGAGTAAACCCTTTCATACGAAAGTCTTTCCCCGTTGTCCTCTTTTGGGTTTGGTATTGCTGTTTTGAAAAAAAAAGCTGCTATTGAGAATATATGGGCTGTGCTGTGAGAATAAGCGGCTGTAAATAAAGCAAGGTTTTAACTTTTTTGTAAGTGCTTTTGGAAAAATTGAGTTGAAGTGTCTTTTTCATTAAAGGAAGCACGTGAATTATGTGTGTGTCTCGGATTGACCTGATCGGTTCCTTATTCGGCCTCACAGGTAAACTTTTTTTGGTTTAACAAAAACCAAAAAATGTAGCCAAGACTTTTTGATGTATAAATGAATGATTATACTTGTGCTAAATTGAAAACCTCACAACCCACCACGCCGCTGCTCAGCAACACCATAGAATTTTACCAACTACCAAGGTTCTTCTCTCTTTGTGTTCGGCATGGGAAAGCCCTCAAAATTTAAATTTATTTTTTTAATAAAATGTCGTACTTCCGACTGCATATTTGGTGCGAAAGCAATCAAAGCTAGAAATGGATTTACTCTTTTATCCAGTTTTTCAGCTCAACCCCTCACTTTTATTGAAGAATAACTCACTCTTTTTAAGAGTCCATTTTCTATCTGGTCTATTTGTGTCCAATTTTTTTTATGTATGGATAAATTTCCTGTTGTGGTTTATTTTTCTTGCAGTTGTAATGTATTTATTTGGTTGCGCTATGTATGTGATTTGTTAAGCAGAAAAGCACGCCGATGGTCTCCGCCTCAGTGGTTGTACTACATGTGTTCGTTTGACAACACTTCTCACTTAGCCAGGACCGAAGGCTTGGCAGTAGAGAGCTACAACCATGAGGAATGATTTTTGGTTCCTATTTTTCTTATTCTTGTTAATGAATGAAACATTCATGTAATTACTGAATGATTAACGTACGTTGGCGTAATGAATCTTCTTGAGTGATGTATGTTTCTTTGTTAATTCCTTGGGAGATGAAGATGCTGTATGAGGATTCCGGATGCTTGGAAGCCGTAATTGAGTCAGAACATTCGATTGGGGGCCATCATCAAAACTATGTGGAAGGTCGAACAAACAGCTATGAGAGAAGTGACATTACTATATGGCTGCACTTTCGATGAACTTGTCAAAGCAACAATATAATAATGGGAATCCTTTACTGAATTTTAAGACGCTGGTCAGGTATCTTACAAAATCGTTAGCTAATTTGTTACTTTTCTTGGACTGGATCATTTTTTAAATGCTATCACGAGCTGCATAGGGGTCACTGATCAAGATAGGAAACGTTTGGCCACAGGTTTTTACATGCTTGACTTCTTAGGTTCAAATGTATTACCACCGGACAAGTATATGATTGCATCCTGATAGCCTGAAGCAGAACTGTGGCTTAAGCTTGTTCAAATTTTTTAGTTTTCCTGATTGGTTATTCCTAAAGGTTTAGTGCAGTGTCATACTGGTTTAAGACTGGGAATCACAAACTTGAAGTCCGGTTTTGGACTTAACATGAAATAATGTTTCAAACAGGAGACATGTTGCGTAAAGGGATATGCAACAAGGAGACTTTGTTCCATGTCTAATTTGGGGATTATGAGACGAGATCCTTTGACTTTATTGTTGTAGGTCTGGAATCATGACTTCTTTTGGGAGTCCATGCAACCGGGAGGAGGAGACATGCCCCAACTGGGTGTCCTTCAGCAGATAGAAAAGGATTTTGGTTCGTTTACTAATTTCAGAGAGAAGTTTACAGAAGCAGCACTTACACTATTTGGGTCTGGCTGGGTTTGGCTTGTTTGTAAGTCCTTCCTCATGTTAATTTCTGAACCTGTGTGAGTTAATGTGTTTGGGATTTTGAATAATGAATTTTTCTCATATTCATTGATTGGGTAATCTCAAACTTACTGTTACATTAATTTTTTTGGAGTTCACCAGCACTAAGTTTCTGTACTAATTGTGACCTTGTTTTGCTAATTAACTCCTCTGGTTACCGATAATTTTTATTGTTTCATTTTCTCAGTAAAGAGAGAAGAGAGACGACTTCAGATAATTAAAACTTCAAATGCCATTTGCCCAATTGTTTGGGGTGACGTAGTAAGTAAAATCAATTTTCCCAATTTTGTTGTGACATCTATTTCAGCAGTTTCATTAATCATCTCTTATTCTGCAGCCTATAATCAGTTTGGATCTGTGGGAGGTGCGTAAATGATCTCTCGCGCTACTCTTTTTCCTACCCTCCCTAACTCTCTCTTGTGGGAACATGCTAATATTTCTTCTTTTTGCTTTCTTTCTTGCAGCATGCTTATTATCTGGATTACAAGGTATGCACTGGTTTCAAACTTCATTTAGTTTCCTCTGGCTGGCCCTAATTTTTAATGTCTTTGGGTAACTTGTTAACAGAATGACAGAGGAAAGTACGTGGATGCGTTTATGAACCATCTTGTGTCTTGGAATGCGGCAATGGCACGCATGGCTCGAGCTGAGGCCTTTGTGAATTTAAACGAACCTAACATCCCTGTGGCTTAGAAGGCTTGTAACACCGGCAAGATACTGAGACTAACTATTATGAAGAGGCTTCCTAATGAGTTTATTGGGAGTCCAGCGGGGGTTGAGCTGCATTAGGATCATATCTTCCATAAAAAGGTGTAATGCCGGTTTTTTCCCATTGGTGTCACATCTACAACGATTTTGGTACGAGATATGCAACCACCTTAGAGAGTAACAGTAGATTAGATAAAGCGTATGAACACGCTTATGTTGCGTTCTGTAATAGAACATAACAAGTGTTTCTGTTTTGATTAACGTAGATTTCCTCTCTATTAGCTCTCTTATTACGTTATGTAACGCATGGTTTTTACTTTTTATTCTCTATATACTCATCAGTTTAAGCAGCCAGAAGAAATGACCTGACTGATGGTTCATGAGGCGATGATAAACCAATGTTAGGGACACGAGATGATGAGGTTCGCTGGCTTAAGTCGTTTTATTGTATCACATTAGTTACATGAAGGTGAAGCACGTCAAAAATCAATCGTCCGTCATATGGACTCTGAAAATACAGAAGCGATGTTCATGTCGTTATCTTGTGTCTCCACATTCGTCATGATATGCGAAGAATTTTTATGGTTAGTGTCGAGAATGAGTGTTGTTACAAATATGTAAAAGTTAAGGAGATAACTTTTACTAATGATAGGAGCGATGCAGGTGTAAAATATCATATTGAAACTATAGCACAAGAGGATGACAAATAAAAGAGGGAGGAATAGATACTGAAGTTATAAATCTTTCCTCCCTTCTCAATATTTCTCACTGTCCTTTAACAGCAGTCAGAGCGCTCTATTTATAGAGCAACTCCGTATTATTACAGTTTGAAATTTACAATACATCTTTTGAAAAACGATCTCCGTTATTTCCAAAGTCCACATCTCAACACAGCCAATGTTTTCATTAATCTGCTAATGTTGAAAATCCAATCTGTGTGGGTATTAAAAGATCTACCAAGGTTTTCAAT